GCAGAGAATTAGCAGAGCAATTCTCTTAGATGTATTTGAGATCTCTCCCCTTTCTTTGTTAATATACATACCGTGGCTCTCCGGTAGACATAGGATCATTCTGATCCGAACCACGTTAAATATTATTAACTTAAAACGTGTTAAATTTTTTCGATTTCTTTATATGTTTTTTTTTATATATATATTTTGAATTCGTTCGAAAATCATGGCTTCGCCACTGGATCGGATCGGGATGTTAATGGTTTGATTTTGTTTTGTTTGGATTAGCTTTAATTCCATTGGTGGAGTTTAGGGAGGCTGAGGTGTTGCATAAATATGATGTGGAGACTGATATTGAACTTCTTGATTTGCTTGATACTGCTTCTAGGCAGAAAGAGGTTAATTTTCAATCAATCATCAACCATTTTCATTTATTTATATTTGTTGATATATAATTTTTTAATTTTGTGAATTCTTTTGGTTTAAATTTTGTATAGATAAAAATTGTTATCAAACTATATTGGGGAGATGCTAGGGAGAAACTATGTGAAGCTGTTGAAGATCTGAAGTTGAATTCTTTGGTTATGGGTAGCAGAGGACTCAGTACCATCCAAAGGTATAATTCTTTTTAATGGACATCTTTCTATTATCGGAGTGAGTTGGAGTTTTGCATTGGTTAGGGATATAATGACGATTTATTTATATAAATCTGGACAATTTTGTTCTACGTGTCATATCTTTTCCTGATTTCAAATCTAGGTTCAATTTTGTTTGGGTCATTACAAAATATTAATGTGTATTTTCATTAACATTTGGATATTTATCTCTTTGATAAAACAGGATATTCTTGGGAAGTGTGACAAATTATGTATTATCTGTTGCGACCTGCCCTGTGACTGTTGTTAAGGATCCAGATTTTCACAAGAAGTGATCAGGTTTCGTTTGGTTAAATATGAACTTATTATGATACCATTTTCAAATAAGATTTAAGGATTTTACATGTAATTTCTCCTATGATGACAATTTCTTTACTTTCAAATACCAAATGAGACGGATCCCTTTTGGATAGAGTTATCTTTTATATTTATATTGTTGCGAGGTGACAAATATCTCGTTAATTAGTTAAGGTATATAGCTAAGATACGATCATTTAGAACATAAAAACTAACTCACGTTTGATATTTATATCTATTAGTAATAAAACTATTTAATATAAGACACATGTTTTAAAGTAATCCATCTTAAAAGTTTTAAGTGTCAAAACTCAAAAGATGGCCCTTTATATGAGAAATCAAACAATTTTTTCATCCATTAGACCATTTACAAAGTTGAAAATCAAATTTGACCCTAGATGCTTTTTGGACAAGAGGGTTTTATTTTGTCAATGGACATTTTTGACCTTTTACTTTTAGGGAAAAAAAAGTTATTTTACACTTCTTGGTTAGAATTCCTAAGTTCACATAACCAATTTTCAACTCTTTGATAAATTCTAGGTAAGATCAAGATTCAACATGTCACGTGGACGATTAAATTTTTTAATCTTTAATTTTTATCATATAGTACTAGAAAATAAAATAAAATTTATGAGTCAAGATCCAATCTACACCAACTTGTTTGAATTAATGTACCAAGTTGATGATATAGATATAAGATACCCCACATGGCTAGCTGTTACATATGATCAGTTTTTAATTAAATTATCCTGGTGTAGAATGAGAAACCATTATGAAAATCACAGATCTTAATTAACATGTCTTCTGTATTTATCATTACACATGATAACTTATTATATGTTAATGGTTGGATATAAATATATTAACAATTGGGAAAGTTGTAAGAAAGATCACATGGCATGTCTCATGAATAATGGAAATGATGAATTGATGGTCGGTAAAAATAATTGAGGAAGGAATTACCTTTCTGATTTAGGGTGAGTTTCCATTTTTTGATATTGGAGCACAGCATAAAAACTATAGTCATTTTTAATATATGAAGAAAAAATAATAATTATTTTTCATGTTTTATTCTTAGCATTAATTATTTATTTTTCTAATTATAGGATTTAATATTAAATATCATATAATAAAAACAGTATGAGAAATAGTCATCTCAAATTATTTAATGAATATGTCAAGTTCAAATATAACAAATAAAAACAAATGAGAGAGTATAATAATAATATTGGATCAAAAGTAAAAATAGTTACATAAATTGTAACAAATATTGTGTAAGCAATTTCGATCTGACAAGGATGCAGTTTCTTAGATCACAGAAAAAAAAAACTTGACTAACCTTAATTTTAGAAAATAATCTAATTAAATAGGGGTATGGACCTTAACTAAATTCCAAATTTAATTTTCAAAAAATGAACCTAATTAATTCAGGAGAATGAATATTTAATTTTGCATCACCATCCATTAACAAAAATACCAACAAACCCCTCAAATACAAATACAAAAGAATAGTTATAATATCTAGACAAGAATGAAATATGTACTTAATGATCAAAATCTTCTATTTTGAATTGACACCTAGTAAAATAAGAAAAATTACAAATATCCACAAACTGAAATACACTTGAATTATATGGATACACGTTGACATCACCACAACACAAATCATATCCTTAATATTATACAAATTCCGCAATATATTAACAAAGTACTTTAATAATCATATACACACCTTAAATCTCATGAATGTTTTAGAACGATGATCCAAATATTTTATAAAAGGCGTCCACTCATTTATGCTCAGGTAGATAATTTTATCAAATCTATCTTGACATAAATTACCTTAAAGCTATGAAATCATCAAGAATAAAATAAGCTCAATCTTATAAAATACCATATCACACCAAATGGTGAAAATGTAGTAAGTATTCTCAATCCATGGGCTTTAGGCCCATCTAGATTATTCTCATTTCACCATTGCAAGATCAACAATTACAAGGGAAAAAAAAAAAACCAACACACACATATAAGATTGTTTATTGAGAAAGTTCATTACTTGGTAGCATGAGTGGTTTGGTCAAATCACAAAGAAGAAATATATCATTTTGCATAAATGCAACTTTGTTGGTTAACCCATTAGTATATTGTAATGTATTTATATTGTATAAATATTATATATATATTTTGTCTTATACGATGAAGACATAATATTGTTAAATAACTATTCACTAGTATAATTATTATAATTAACTACGTAAATAAAAAAATAATGTATTGGATCCACTTATAAAATGCTTAACTAGAGAGGTAGTTGAAATATCATCAAGGGAAATGGATTTAAGGCCTAAGACAAGTTATCATGGTGGTAACTCTACCTAGTAGACGGAAGATTCGAAGATGAAAAGTATGACCAACTATGTAATATCTCATGCGACCTGCCCTGTCACTGTTGTCAAGGATCTTGATTTCCACAAGCACTTATCAACAATTCTGGATTAAATAAGATGAAAACTGTAAAATATTTTTATTTTTCTGTTGTTTCTGATTTCAATAACTACTAAAAATTGACGATTTGTTCTCATTTGTTTGATCTACCTTATCTTTCATTCTTTCTCGTAATCGTGTGAGATGAAAGTCTCATGTTAAGTTTTGAATTCTCTTTTTGATTTTGATTCTCCTACACAGTCGTCATTTATTTGACTGTTACTTCAAAATTAGCGACTTTAGCTTTAACCATTCAATTTTTTCGATCTCCTCATCAAATGGATGACATTTTTTTTTAAAAAAAATTCTTGCTCTTCATAATGTTGAAAAAACTACAAAGCTCTTTTTCATTATAATTGTCCGGTACTAGCATAGTATTGGTGTACGTCAGCAGGGGCGTATCTAGAGTGGTGCCGTGGGTTCACGTGAACCCATGCTCCCTTCTCTAGATTATATATAATAATGTTATATTTTTGTAAAAATATTTAAATATAGATGTTTGAATTCACGTTCAAAGTATCATATAATAATATGATGATGATCGGGTGCACCTCTCTAAGTGAGAATAAAAATTTAATTTTATATCTATCTTTTGTTTTGAGTAACACCTTTCCAAGTGGTTATCGGTTATACTTTTGGCATTTCAACAAATTTTCTTTTTGTTTTTTTTCTTAAAATTTTCAAAATTTTCAAGTGTGTTACATTGAAAATTCCTAAAAAATTTAGCACTGTAATTTCTTTTATATAATTAAATCAAATGTATATATTAAAATTTAAAACTAGAAGTATTATATATTTTGGACCTATAATTTTTAAAATTTAATGGTTCATATTAAGAACCTAAAAGTCAAACTGATAAAATTTATATTTAAGAAGCATTTTTTCGTAATCGTGAACCTATCTTGTCGATTACGAAAGATAAGATACCCTTCGTTATACTTTTGGGCCAAATATGCTCCTCTTATTATACTTTGGACCGAATATACATTGTTAAACTATTTCCTATAATACGGGGTATATTTGCCCCCACTTAGGTCCAAAAAAAACAGCTATGAGAATAAATCTCTTTCAATAACAGGGGAAATAATTTGTCCATCCATAAACTTTTGGGTAGAAGACAAAGTGGCACTAAAATAACAATATCTTATTTTATCTTGGCCCAAATCAATCCTGCTTTATATATTCTATTCGTTTTAATTTATATGCTATTTTTAAAGATTTTGAATAAGCTTTTATATAGTTTAAATGTTTTAAACAATATATTTTTATACTTTATATAGTTTTAAAATACGTGAATATAATTTCTAAAAATTTAAGAGGGTATTTAACTTTTTTTTTTTTTTTAAATATCATTTTTAGAGTTAAACTTCAGAAAATATGTCTAGTCATAAAATTTTAATTTCTTTTTTCAATATTTTTTTGTAATTTCTAAAATAAAATTTTATAAAAATCACATTTTTTTAAATTTTAAATTACTCACAAAAAATTAAAAATGACTCTAATTAATTTCATGAAAAATAAAACTTCAACTTCTAGATATTATTTCTCACTTCGATAATTAATTTTTTTCATTTTTAATTTTCACAATAAAATATAATCAATGACCTATTTAAAGATTCCATATTTGAATTTATAGTGGAAGTTGAACATATTTGATTCTCCTTATCCAAACCGTATCACATCATTTGAAAAAGTAGTGTAACACCTCATACAATATAGCTTTTAAGTTTTCACACACCAAAAAAGGATAAGAAAAATCAAGAAGCAAAAATGGCGGAAGACAAGAGAATTGGTATTGCAATGGATTTTTCAAAAAGCAGCAAAGCAGCTTTGAAATGGACAATTAATAACTTGGCTGATAAAGGTGACACCTTTTGCATCATCCACGTCAAGAATTATGACTCTAGACATCAACTCTGGGCTCAATCTGGCTCTCGTAAGTCTAAATCTTACTCCCTCCGTCCCATTTTATGTGAGGTAGTTTGACTCGATAAGAAATTTAAGAAAAAAAGGAAGACTTTTAAAACTTGTGATCTAAAATGAATGATAAAAATTTGTGTGACTGTAAATCATTTCATTAAGGGTACGTTTTATAATTAAATTGTTACTTAATATAGAAATGTGTCATTCTTTTTGAGACTGACTAAAAAAGAAAGTAAGTCACATAAATTGGGACAGAGGAACAATTCTTTTAATTTTTATGGATTTGAATTTGTTGTCCGATCTAGAATTTTCATTAAAGAGTTTCAAAATCAAGAAACCCCTTTATCTCTGCTTGTCTATGTTTGACTTATGCACGTACTTGTTATCTATAGTTATTTTTTAGCTGAACTGATTTTTTTATATACTTATTTTTTAATATTTTAAATCCGTTAATAAGAATTCTAGCTTTGTCACTAGAATGCGGATGTTAATAGTTTAATTTTGTTTTGTTTGGATAAGCTTTGATTCCATTGGTGGAGTTTAGGGAGGCTGAGGTGTTACACTACTATGATGTGGAGACTGATATTGAACTTCTTGATACGCTTGATACTGCTACTACGCAAAAACAGGTTAATTTTCAATCACTCATCTACCCTTTTCATTTTATTTTATTTTTTGTTTAATAATTTTAATTATTTTCTTATTCATTTGATCTTTGTATAGATAAATGTTGTTATTAAATTATATTGGGGAGATGCTAGGGAGAAACTGTGTCAAGGTATTCATGATCTGCAGTTGAATTCCATTGTTATGGGTAGCAGAGGCCTCAGTCGCCTCCAAAGGTAATTCTTTTTAACGGAGATTTGTCCAACGTTAGATTCAAGGGTCATATCTTTATTATATTCGAGTATACTGTCATTTAACATTTGGATTTTTATCTCTTGATAAAACAGGATATTCTTGGGAAGTGTGACCAATTATGTATTTAGTAATGCCAGCTGCCATGTGACTATTATTAAGGATCCAGCTCGTTCCAAGCACTGCTAAGGTTTTGTTTGGTTAAGATATGAACTTAAGACATTTTCGAATAAGATGAAGGATTTTACATGTAATTTCTCTTATGATGATAATTTCCATACTTCTAATGCTAAATGAGACAGATCCTGTTTCTGGTACCGATTACTGATGAGAATTAGGTTGATGATTTTCTATGCTATCGACCCCTTGTGCTTCTTATCTCCGTCCTTAATTTATGTTATTTCCGCTTTTGTAGGGAAGAACTATACCATCGTTTAGATATTATTATTATTTTTATCCTACCATTACAAGATGACAAATATCTCATGGATTAATCAAGGTATATGACTGAAACACGATTATTTAGAACATGAAAACTCACTCACACCCTAATATACATTCTAATTTTATTTTTTAACTCAAATCATTGATAAAACAATATAATTTGGAATAAACATTAGGTACAAATAATTTTTTTTACCCACTTCAAAAGTTTAAAGTGCATGTGCGAGCGCATTTGTATGCGAAATCAAACGGTTTAATCATCCATTAGAATATTTACAAACTTGAAAAGCAAATTTGACCCTAAATGCTTTTTTGGACAAGATGGTTTCATTTTGTCAATGTACATTTTTGACCTTTTACTTTTAGAAAAAAAAAAGTTGTTTCACTCTTCTTAATTAAAATTCCTAAGATCGCATAAACAATTTTTAACCCTTTGAAAAATTCTAGGTAAGATCAAGATTCAACATGTCATGTGCAGTAGCAGCGTACGCGAGAATTTTTTGTAAATGGTGTCGATATTTAATAAATAATAAATAATTGATATAAAAACATTATATTAATATAAAAATTAGTATTTAAAATGTACTAATAAAACATAAATCAAGTAAACTTTTATAACTCTCCTCGACGAGTTTTCATATTTTGAAATGTTTTCATAATTGCCTCATTGGAGATAGTAACTAAATATTTCTTTCTCTATCTAAGGCACCAAACAACCACTCAAAAGATCATCATTCCTTTGATTTCGTAAACCAGTCTTGATTTTGAAAGCTTCGAAAATACTTTAGAATAATATCTCTCCATTGAATTGATCTGAATTACAAATTTAAATAAATTACATAACTCTAAACAATTTCAAGAAATTAAATCTATAATATGTTGATAAATATTCAAGAAATTTCAACTAAAACTATAAAGATGGGAGATAAATAGAAACATGAACTTACAATTAAGAGAAAATCGCAGTAGCATCAAACTTTCAACACAGCAACACTTGCAATTTGCAAAATTGGAGGTTTCTTTTCAACTTAGATTTTACTTTATAACTTATTATTGTGTCCAATTTCAATTTGACCAAGTAACAAAATTTCTATAATAGGTAATAAGTTGTATTCTAGTTTAATTGGTTTATTTTAGGCGAATTTAAATAGAAATTGTGAAATTGGAGGTTCGAATCATTTTGATAAGCTTTTCTAAAATCGTTCCAAAAGTAAAAATAAAAGTCGCATTATTGGAACAGCTGACGCACTGGCTGTGCTGTTCAAAGAGTGTCAGTAATAATAGTTGTACTCTTATATATACACTAAAAAATTTCAACGATGCGGTATCGGGTGACCCCTTTGGTATAAGGTGGGTTCGCCCCTGATCATGTGGATGATTGACCATAAACGACTGTTCCCCATATTATCTCAAGGACCATTCTTCTTGACAAATCTTGTTTACACATCTTTATTTTAAGTAAGGTGTACATCGATCGATTCAGTTTAATTTTATGTATTATTAATTTGATTTATTAATTTTTGATTTTTAAAATACGCTAAATTAACAATAAATCAATAAGATATTTTTTTTTATCGATTTTTGATCATTAACGGTTCAATTTCATCAGCTGTAAATTCTTTGATATAATGAAACAAGAAAGATAATTAATGAGAAGTTGCATCAATAAAAATAGATGTAATACGAAAGCTACAATTACATATTACAACCAAAACATAATATGATATTGATGATGTGGAGTAGAAATACCATGAAGTTTGAAGTATGTAGACGTGTAGAGTCTAATTATGTTGCATCAATAAAATTATTAAAAACCCGTTAATTCAATAGCCCAATAACAAATAATCCAATAATATTTTTTTCACTTCGATTTATTAATCAGTTCAATTGTTGCACATCCCTAATTTTAAGAAACACAATATGACCATAAAAATGCAACAATTAGTTTATTTCATTTCATCTTTGACCCTTTCACCATTACAAGATGAACAATTACACAAACTCAAACACAATTTTTCCTTGAGGATTTCAATACAATTATTTGTGTGTGTGATTTGTTTATTGAGAAAGTTCATTATTTGGTAGCACAAGTGGTTGGGCATATTCTTTGTAAAATGCAAGTAATTTTTCTCTAGGTGGCAAATTTTCCTTCATAAAGCTACAACTCATCAACTTATCAGCCCATTCACATATATTTGGAAATTCCTTTTTGTTCAATATGTCAACTTCCAATGCTTCTTGCATAACTCCAAGCCAATAAGTTATCAAAATGGAAACAATTTCCATATATCCAACTTTGTTTTCTCCTCCAAAGAAAATGTTATTATTATCTTTGATCAATTCATTCTCAAGAAGTTTAAGTAGCTCTTGAAGTTCTCCCATGGCTTTCACCTTTACTTCATAATTGCTGTCATAACAAAATTTTATAATCTCTGGCAAGCACTGAAATTGGACAATGAACACTTGTTATTACTTGAAAATGATCATTATCATTATTAATCATTTCATTTCAATTTGTTTATTTGATTTTGATCTGACACACAGTCTAAAAAGAAAAAAAACTTTTTAATCTTATGATCTTAAATTTAAAATATGTAAAATGTACCCAATGTTTTTTAATCTTGTGGTCTCAAGACACAACAAGATGTAACATGGAAAGTTGAAATCGGAGAGTTGCAAGACAAATAAATTAAAAAGAAAGGATTAATGGGAAGAAAACATTTCAAGGTCCGGCCACATTCGGTAGAGGAAAATATTTTCCACAAATAAAACTATTTTCTCTGTTTTATTATAAGAAAAATATTTTTTATAGGAAACATTTTCCACCAAAAAGAGTACACAACATTTTATTTCAAGAAAGAGCATATTTGGTAATAACTTTGTCTTTGTATCTAGGGTGTTCACGGTTTGGTTTGGATCGGTTATTGGTCAAAATCAAAACCAAACCAACTTAATCGGTTTTAAAATTATCAAAACCAAATCAAACCAAATATAATATACATTTATCAGTTTGGTTGTTTTCGATTTTGGTTTGTTTGGTTCGGTTATTAACCATACATAAAAATAAAATAAACAATTCATTCAAAACGTGAAAAAAGTGACAACAATTTATTCAAACAAAAAATAGTTAGAATGACTGGCATTACAGAACTTTCGATCATTGAATTTACTGAATAAAACTTCAAAATTCACTATTTTGGCATAGAAGGAAGAGACAATTACATTTTTAGTCCCACAAAGAATTTTTCATAGACACTCATATACATGAAACCAATAAGAAAAATGTTCTCACCTTGGATATTTTTTCTTTCATACGTAAATTATAAAAATAAATTTAGATGAAACATATATAAAATCTTTAAAATTGTTTATGAATATAATATATTATGTATGTATAATAATAAAATTTATGTATATAACTTGTTGGTTCGGTTCAGTCATTTCTTCGATTTTTTTTCGAACAAAACCATTAGACCAAACCAAATACTATCGGTTCTTAACAATCTAAAAACCAAACCAAAACCAAAACCCAAATTAAATCGGTTCATTTAATCGATTTGGTTTGGTTTTTCAGTTTGGATCGGTTTTTATCCAAACCATAAACACCCCTATTTGTATCCAACATCACTAAAATTCAGAAATCAATATCCCTTCTAATGGAAAATATTTAGATATTTGGTTACAGGAAAATGACTTTACTTTCTGAAAAAATATCTTATTTCACAACAAACACATAGATCTTGACTTCACATAACTTATGTATAATTTCTTTAAGTACCGTACACAATAAAAAGTGATCAACCAACATAGAATACACAATACACAGAGAGTATACTTCTAGTAGAAAGAGAGAACAATTGATACTTGAAGATAAAACTCACGACTAAGATATGAAATTCGTGAAAAAATAATAGTTCAGATGCATTTTAAATCGAATAAACTCGAAAACATACCTTTTCATCCATAAACTTAGCCCAAAAACGTGCCATGGCTCTTTGATAAGGATCTTTTGGTAGAAGAGATGTGCCATCTTCCCAATTTTCATCAATATATTCAAGAATCACAAGAGACTCAGGAATTGGCTTTCCATTGTGAAAAAATACAGGAACTTTTTTGTAAATAGGATTATACTTGACAATTTTAGGACACTTTTTTATTGGAAGTTGTGCTTCAATGTACTCATATTCAATACCCTTAAGTTTTAGGGCCATTTCAACTCTTATACTAAAAGGACTTACCCAAAAACCTAACAATTTTACTTCTTCCATTTTTTTTTCAACTTCTTAATTGCTCAAAGTTTTGCAATTATTTCATTTTAGACTTTTGTCCTTCTTATAGGGAAAAAAAATGTATTTGGAGTTAGTTAGCTTTTCATTACATCTCTATCTTACACGTGTTTAAAAAATTGTACTACCCTTTTCACGACAACCTTTTCTTTTTAGCTCGTTCTAAAAAAAAGTCATATTATTATAATTAAAAATAATTTAATTTTTAATAAAATAATTTATAGCTATACAACTATCTTATAATTATTTTAGATATAATTTTTTTAAAAAACTTTCTTCTTAAAATTTATCAAATTAAAAACGATTACACATAAAATAAGACAAAAAAAAGTAACTTTTTTATTTTATTTTTAAAACGACTTTTAACTGTCCTATTATAATTGTTCCAAGTTTCTTTTCTACTTTTAATTTCTCTTTCGATGACAATTTCTTTACTTCCAATGCCAAATGAGATGGATCCATTTTAGATAGAATTATCTTTTATTGTACGGTTTTGATGACAAATATTTCGTGGATATTAATATATGACACGTCTTAAAATCTTAACTCATACTTTTATTGTTTAATGAATTATGAATAGTAGTCAACTATTCTACATTCTAATTATGATTTTTGATTTAATCATATGGTAA